TTGAAACATCTCACTCCATAATATGTGTCAATCAATCCGGAGGATGGTACGACTTCTACACTGACAGAAAACCACCGGACTACTCTCAACTGAATGGTTATAGCCATCTATGTGGAACCCATCCAGCAGGATGCCTCCATGGTCAACCACCCCAATGAATTGGAACTGGCAAGTGGTAAGGACTCCCATACTCCACTGTAAGAATGGGTGGGAAAGAGCACTGGAGAGTCTGGAGGAACAGCTACACCCGAGAAAGTGCAAGGGGTGATCATGTAACCCCATTTTGAAAAGCAGACCACACTGACATATTCAATAGAGTCATGGCAGTGATGGGCAGCTATCCCCTTCTCCTTTACCCATGCTGTCCATGGGTGGTATGGTGTGGGACAGGCCTATTTATGAAGCTAATATCACAAGGTAATTGACCATCCAGTGATCTTGTGAAATACTCCATCTCGAAGGTGATCAAGTGGAGCCTTGGAAAGAGCACAAGAATCAACATGTGTACAGTGTAGATTTGTTTGTGTAAAAAATACCTGGCCAGGCACCACTCACCACAGAGCAAGATCCAAGAGACCAAATTTGAAGCAAGAGCTCCTGAAAGAAAAGAAAGCATTAATAAAGACTTACATAGCGTTATAGCCACATCAAAGCCACAAAAAAGGCAAAAAAGGAGGAATTACCCTCACGAGCCACCAAAGTTTTGGGAAGGAAGGAATGATCTGGATAAAGGAGAAGATAGATTTGGTGGTACAGAATATGAGTGATGTCGATAGGAAACAGATCCAATCGATGCCACCTGCAGGCCAAGAGGAGAAGGAAATACCCTTAAGGGATAGGTGAAACAAAGAGCACAAAGCAATGGGCTCAAATGGAGGTAAAGTAAGGGAATGGAGTACCATGTTAATGTCCTAATTTGCAAGTGCCAGATGCCTAGGCGGCCAACGTATCAGGAAAGAATGGATCAAGGACAGGGGAAAGAAAGACCCTGCAATAACTAGAAAAATGGAAAGTATGGGATAGAACTGCCCAATAACCTGATATTGAGGATACTAAAGATCCCTTCTCAAAAAGCCAGGTAAGGAGATACCAGCATCTGTAGGACGAGAAGCTGAGATACCCCAAGCTAGGGTAAAGGTGTAAAAAACATTTCATTTCTGCTGATACACAGCCATGGATGAAAGACGAATGGAATGAGCTAAATGAAATGCCACCCGACATGAGAAACTGCATCTCCACGCCAGGAACCAGACAAAAACCAGGTGTGAATATGGAGGATGTGAAGTATGGGATGCAGAACCAGCAACTGGGGTTGATGAAGAAGTTTGGAGAAAAAAGGAAGAGGGAAGGGAGGGAACAACTGTAGCTGGAGTAATTCAGGAAACCACAGTTGAGCGGGCCAGATTAGCAATCAGAAGAAGTGGCATGGTTGAGGGAGACTACCCAATGAAGTAATCATATAGGAGGATAAACATAAAGGAACATGTTTGACGAATCCTGGATAAAGATATCTACAAATGTTACTGGTGATTGAGGGAGGTGGCAAATGCATCGATATGAGAAATTCCCCACCATTTGCAAAACCTCCAAAAAACAAGGGGATGAAGGAACCCAACAATTGTTGATCTAAGTATGGACAATCTACTCTCTAATAAACGAGCGTGGACTGATGCGAAGCCCGCAGGGGATGAGGCATATTAATGCCGTTACATAACTGGGAGGCAAAATACTCAGTGTGAACCCAAATATCAGGGGGAAAAACTAAATATGGTTGGGTGGCAGAATCATGTAATAGGGAAGGACGTGGGCCATAAGAAATAGTAGTAATAGACAAAACATCACATACCTGAGAAATAATATCTGAGAAAGCTAATGAAGACCAAAAAGAATTCTCAGGTAGGATTTGATATGGTAAGGCAAAGTCCAGGGGGGTGGGGGACAAATGATCAAACTTCTCACCAGCCTGGCCAGATTCAAAAGGCTCAGGAGGAAGAGGGGCAACAACAATAAACAAAGGTTGTCCCATATAACACTCAACCTCCTTGCGAATAAAACCCAATAAATACCCCAACGGGTCACCTGCACCTGTGGCCTGAATTATGCCATCAGATGAATAAGATGTACCCAAAATGGTAATGTTAACTTTGGAATTCATGATTGATACCAAACAAACAAGCAAAATTTTTCATGGCAAAACATGGGGAAATCAAATGCTTTCGAAAATAAAATGGAAAAAAGTAAATTAAATTAAGTTAAACCACTTTGAGAAGTAATGAACAAAAAAAAAAGACATCTGAACTCGAGCGCTGCCAAACGAGAAGTGATGGTTCAGTAGTGGCACATGTGTCATGTAATAGTAGAGCTCTCCTATTGGTGAAGAGAAGACGCATGATGATTTACAACAGAGACGTGTTGAAATCTTTGATTCCAATAGGGGTTGCGGAAGGCTTGTGGCATGTGTTATAAAAAAGTTCACATATAGAGGGCAGCACAAGATGGTAAAAGCTAATCTTGTGAGTGGAGGGAAGTACCGTATCAGAAATGAAAAATATCATATAGTTAATGCTTTTTAGATGCAGCATAGCAGCTCATAGAATGGCTCTGAGTTGTTTTTTTTTTCAAGTACAAACGTTTAGCTTATAGCTTTGTCACCTCTTGACCAATTTGAGATATAATTAAGGGTTTGGACTCAGGAGGTCAAACCCTTCTGATTGATGTATTCGACATGCCCAAGGTCTCATAGATTAATTTGTTCTAATCTTGCCTAAAAGAATTTCAATTTGAGGGTAGGCTGGTGGAGATCCTGATGAATAATAAAATCAAATTGGGTAAATGAGCACCCCATGCTTGGTATTGCACACAAAAATATTGGTAATAAAAAGGAAAAATAGGTCTCATAATTTACTCTAATCCTCCCTAAAAGAATTTCAAGTGTCACGGCTATTGAGGATTCCCTCTTGTTCCTTCTTCAATTGAAACTTCAAGATTATCATTGGATTATTGTGAGATACTGGACATTTGATATAGCCACACTAAATTTTTGCATTAAGCTGTCATTTCACTTGAAGATGATTTGTTTTCATTAAAGTTGAAATTTCAAAGTCAATGTAACAAGAATCAGTTTTCAGAATATAATGGGGATAATTTTTTTTCTATCCTTGAAAGTTATGAGTGTGAAACATTCCAACAGTATGTATTGAGTTTAGTATGATTTAGGCTTAAAAACACATCAATCATCCACCCTTAACACTTGAAAGACCATGAAAAGTTAACATTTTCCTAAACTGAAAATATATTTCAAACAGATACTTACCTATTCTCATAAAAAAAAACTTTCTCGATTTATACTACCCTCTATAGGCGCAAATTTTTGCTCACCATTAGCCTTGACATTCCCATTTATTTCTGCATATTAACATGTAAATGACTATACAGCATACAGCAGTGCGACACTACCCCTATCCTAACTAGTGCCCTCTTTAATCTTGCACGTCTTAACCACTTCGAGATTGATCAGATCAAACCACACTGGAAGTGGGGAGGATAGGTGGTAAATGTGAGTGAAGCTAAGTATCTATCAGAATACTCTTTTAGTTTAGGAAAGTGTTAACTTCCAGTGCAATATCTTACCTCCTATCACAAAAAAGCTAGAATACCACATAGAACTGATTGCAGACCAGTGAGAAAATGATCCTCATTAAGGAAGCACCCAAAGGAAAACTATGGGGTGTGAGAAGGAATTAAAAACAACACACCCTTGAGAGACTGCACCACTTCTGATCCAGGTATACTCTTTGTCCTTGTGAGGACTTACGTGGCTGGTCCGGCTCCAACCAACATCCAATCCATGTAGACTACTTGGATAATTGAAATAATCATAATCTCATATTTTGAATGATTGATAAAATTGTGTCATGACATTAATAAGTTAAGCTGAACAACCTTGAATTAATAGAAAATGATACTGAAAAATTATAATGGAAATATTTTGATTAATTGGATAGTTGAAATAATTGAAAACAGTAATAGTCAGATACATTAATTTTAATTAGTTGCCTATTTTTGTACCATTATTTTGTGATATTAATCAACTTACTCATAATTTTGATTAATTGAATGTATTTGTGACATCAATCAATTTAATCATAAATTTGATTTGTTGATTATTTTTGTACCATCAATCAAGTTAATCAAGATTTTTATTTGTTGATTATTTTTGTGACATTAATCAATTTAATCAAGATTTTGATTTGTTGATTATTTTTGTGACATTAATCAATTTAATCATAATTTTGATTAGTTGATTATTTTTGCACCATCAATCAAGTTAATCAAGATTTTAATCATAATTTTGATTAGTTGATTATTTTTGTACCATCAATCAAGTTAATCAAGATTTTGATTTGTTGATTATTTTTGTGACATTAATCAATTTAATCAAGATTTTGATTAGTTGATTATTTTGTTATATTAATCAACTTACTCATAATTTTGTTTAATTGAATGTACTTGTACCATCAATCAAGTTAATCAAGATTTTGATTTGTTGATTATTTTGTGACATTAATCAACTTACTCATAATTTTGATTAATTGAATGTATTTGTGACATTAATCAAGTTAATCAAGATTTTGATTTGTTGATTATTTTGTGACATTAATCAACTTACTCATAATTTTGATTAATTGAATGTACTTGTACCATCAATCAAGTTAATGAAGATTTTGATTAGTTGATTATTTTGTGATATTAATCAACTTAATCATAATTTTAATTACTTGATTATTTTTGTGACATTAATTAATTTAATCATAATTTTGATTAGTTGATTGTTTTTGTGACTTTAATCAATTTAATCATAAATTGATTACCCAGTTATTTTTTCTGATACTAACTGATATAATCATTGCTCATAGGTAATAAATTATATCTATTAATCACATTAATTACCCAGCTCTGCAGTAATGCAAGCTATTTGTAATTTTTCAAGGGAAACTTACCTATAGTATGATAATAGCCCATTTGAAAGTACAAACCAACGTTTCTGGTATCCTTTCAAATAATTTGTCCATTTGTATAACCAACCTTTCATCTCAGCTTCTTGTTGCTGAGGCTTCAAGTCACCCATTCTGATGTTTCCGAAATCAGAACACTAAATATGCAGTTGACTGTGTAAAGAACAGTGAAAATAATTTATATTTGTTACTCAAGATAGGCATTGGAAGGAAATCAAATCATAAATGACAAAAACAGTTGAACAATCCCATAGACCTTCTTAAAATAAAACAAAAACTTACCAAAGACACACAGGTACACATTTCCATGAAGAAAGCAGCTGGGAACAGCTGTCACATCATACATATACGTATAAAAGCTTCCCAGTTAACGATCTAGTAGTACAAACAATCATTTTAACATATGCCTTGCAACACTGTCTTTCACTCGTACAGTACACTGATAAAGAAAACAACTATTCGTGCTTGAAACCTAGTCAAATATTTTTGGCGAAAGCATAAAATACATGCACATTTAGTTTCAAAACAGAAGAAATAATAAATGATTTATGATTTTAAGTTATAAATTGTAGGTATTCACTAGCATAGGCTCTCTCATCCTGAACAACTGCCATATTTAACACGTAAAATATTTCAGAATTTCACATCTTTTTAACTTTTGGTAACGACTTTGAAGATGTTTAATTTTTTAAGTAGTAATCCAAACAAACCATCTTTTTTTTTTACATTAATTAAAAGAATTCAAGCTTCACAAATGTAATTTACAGAATTATTTTTTTTAGTCAGTGCTCAGAAGGATTATTTCTCTATGCGGGCCTTCTGATTTTTATATACATGTAAAAATTAGTTATTATTCCATACATATCTTTAGTCTTCAGCACATATTAACGACCTTAAGTCTGTGAAATGCAAGTTTTAAGAGTTGGTGAAATATATTCTAATTATGCCTTTCCAGTATAAGCCCAAACTACAAAACTACAAGCCCAAAAGTAGTTAGAACAATTTACCATTATTTGTAAATGTTATAAATGTACAAGTTTAATAAACATTGAAATAAAACCATGAAATTCAATTTCATGATTTTTTTAATCAAATGAACCAGTAATGTTATACTGACATTAAAAGATGTTTTTGCCTCAAGTGAGTTTATAGGTTATAGAGTACCATAACTACTCAAGTATCTTGAATGGCTATCAAGTCATACAACTGCTCATCATGTACGATACTATATAGATGGAATCCACAGAAGACTTACAAACTCAAAAACAGAATGGCACCAGACACACCAGTAGCACCACTAATCCTATGTACATAACACAAATTTGATATTTTGACCTTTCTGGAAATACAATGTACTGGTAACTTTTCCACAGAGAATAACTTTTAGTGATCACAAAAAGCAGTTTAGAAAAGTCAACACTTTAACTGATGAAAATGAACTGGTTGACAATAAACTATACATCAGTTAAATGAATTACTGAAAATTGGAAAGCAAGTTAAGATAAAATAACAAAGTACACATATGCATATATTTCAACGAGGTTTAATAACTCCCAAATAAACTTCATTCTTCACACTTCTAAGATAACAGAGTAAAAAAAAAAAATGCTGATATTAAACAGAATATGTTTCAGAGGACTTCAGTTCTGGTTGAGATTGAAACATTTCTGAAATAATATCTTCACTCTACCTAATCACTTTTAAACGTCTACATAGTTCTAAAATATTAGAAGTGTCCATAGGGAAACTGAAATACCTTCATTATGAGAACTTCATTCAGTCAATGGGTAATAAAAAAAACCAAGATCTGTTAAGATTGAATAACCTAACATGGTACTTTGTACAAGTTACACATTTTAGCATAAAAATAAGAAATCTGTTCTTTTCCTTACTAGCCTCATTAGGATGATACACAAATACTGAATTTTTATAGTGCATGACTTAACATGACATAAAATTTTCAAGATTCATCTATTTAGAAAATTTGCAAGCCATTTTTTTTTAATTAAATACTTCACTTAATGTGCTTTTAGGTTAGTTTTAGGAAAACAGTAAATATTTTATAACTATCTTATTTGAACTTACAATACAAAATAAGGTTTCCTACAAAGAGAGTAAGGTACATATCTTTTAGGTATATATCACTTACAATTAGATATATATATTATTATAAGCCATCACAAAATGGGTGTAACACTAAGCCCGGCTTGATACGGTAACGTTGATATAGTGAATATCTTTGGAAATGCCCTCATATGGAAGTATAGATAGTGTCAAGTACCTATATGGATGATAATATAGTAAACCTCCTTATGATTCTCACCTTTTCGCATCTCAAAGACATTTATGTTATTATAATCAGCATGAAAAATGTTCACATTGATTCTTATCATTCAATATACGCTGATTGAAAATAAAAGCCTATTACAAGAACTATTTTATTCTAGGAACTATGTGTAAAATGGAATAAAGTGAAAATACTTTTAATTAAGTAAAAAAAAAAATACACGATTACCAAGTTTACAGTGCTTTTCTGTGCTGAAGGCCTATTTCTTAAAATTTCAGATATATTAAAACATACACTTTGAAGATTCATATTTTTCGATATATACACATAAACACACACACACATTTATATATATATAAAAAATAAACATTGCAACAGTACTATAATTAAACAATCATTTTCCATTATCAGTCCTGTTGTTAACATTAATTCATAATAGATAATATCTATGGTGAGAGGACCCAAATGCATTTGGGGTATTCCATCTATCAGACAAAATTTATATGCTCATTTCAAACTAGCCAGCACCTATGGAAAATCAATTAAGGGTTAGAAGTTGAGTGCTTACACCCACAACGTGTCAACTCCAACTGCCTTGATTCTCCAGCCAGTTGTGGGAAGGCAGATATTTTTAATACTCAGATAAAACCTCCCTAAGCAGAAATAAAACCTCCCTAAAAATTCTACAAGGTAAGAACCTAAAAACCTGAAATTTTGAACCCATACTAAGTGAGCCCTGAGGGTCTACACCTGGGTATTATTTATCTTATCCACGTGTGTGCACATATGCACGTGCGCATCTTTCTAGTGAGGCAATCCAGCAAAAAAACACAGAAAAGAAGTGGTTCCTTATATAACAGCTTCTAATATATAGAAAAGCCAGTGCATTTGGGTAACAATGCACTCCAACAGTGGCTTTTATATCATGTTGCTTAGCAACAAAAGTATAATCTAATATTGTTGTTAAGAGGC